TGGGGGGCGGGCCCCAGGCCGGCCGGGGCCGCAGCTGGGCCCGGAGCGCTGCCAGCCGCATTCCTGGGGCCGCCAGGCAAGCGGGAGCGTGTGTGGGCCGACCGGGCGGCCGGGCAAGTGCGCGGCCGGCGCCGGGGCAGGGCCGGCCCGCGGGACGCCCAGGTCCCTGTGAGGAGCCCCAGTGCTCTGAGCCCAGAGCTCTGCATCGTGACCGCTCGTCTCTCTGGGGATGCCGCGGTGGGGACAGTGGCTCCACAGGAGCTCTGGCACCGTGGGCCTGGGCAGCTGGGATTGAGCGAAATGGGCTAAAACGCAGTGGGGCTGAGAAGCGGGGGCTGCCAGTGCTCTTACCGTGCTGCCCTGGCGGGTTGTCCCCGGCGTCCCGGGCGCAGAGGTGGCCGTCCCCATGGCCGGCCCGGGCCAGCTCCCAGTCTCAGTGCGGTGGCCCAGGAGGCAGGAGGAGGCACCGCAGCCCTGCTCGCCGGAGTGACAGGCACAAGTGCCAGCCTGCGCACAGAGGACACAGGGAAGGACAGCACAGGGTGTCCCCATCGGCGAGAGCTGCTCCAGCTGGAGGAGCCCATTGCAGCGGCCAGGACACCTGGATCCCCGGGACACATCGCAGGGTCCCCTGCCTGCACCTTCCTCCCCAGGCAGGGTGAGGAGGGGAGCAGGGGGGCCCCCTGTGAGGCCCAGCTGGGCCCCGGAGCAGCCCTGGCTCACAGAGCCCCCCGTCTGTCACGACGCCTTCATTAGAGACACTGAGTCACCTCCTGGCAGCGTGGGGCATCAGCGCTGGCCCCAGGCTGGCCCCCACGGCATCCCCTTGTCACGCCAGGTGTGGGGCAGGATCGGGGGGTAAAGCAGCACCCACATCACTGTACCCTGCCCGCAACCTCCCTGTTCCCAGCTGTGGGGGACACGCACCAGGGGGCAACGCGCCAGGGCACACTGGGCAGCGCAGGGTGCACGGGGCGCTGCACACAGCTGCAGCACCAGCTCCATCCCTCTCACCCACCTCTCCAGCTCCTTTTCCCCAGCTGCTCCATCCTGCTCCTGTGGCAGCTCCCCGTGCTCCTGCCTGCCCTGCCCGGCCCATCCATCACGGATTAGCTATTTTCCATCAGTGCTTATCTGCCGGCCATCTCGCTGCTCCCGTGACAGCCCGATGCCTCCAGCACCTCCCTCCTGCTACCGGGCAGCCCCGATAAGGGGGCCACTCCATCTTATCGTGCTCCCCAGCCGTTACACATTAACGGGGCCATCCTGGTGCGGGGGACGTCCCAGGGCACCAGCCCATGTGGTGGGCAGTGCGGGGCTCCGGAGCGCTGCCCGCATCCCGGGGCATTGCAGGGACTGCGGGCACGGCGGCTCCCCACCATGGCCCTAGAGCGGGCAGGTGGCAGTGGGGCAGGGGGGGACGGTCCTGCCCCAGCCCGGGGCAAAGGGTGGCCAACACCGCCCGCACCCAACCGGCAGGCGCCGCACTGCCCGTGTGGTGCCCCAGCCCCTTCCCACACCCTGCATGGCCAGGGCAGCCCCACAGCGTGGGGACGAGGGCTCCAAGGTGCCCCAGCCCCAGAGGGAGCGGGTACAGCACCATGCAAAGCCTGGCTTAGGGGCAAAGGCATGAGCAGGTGGTGGGGAGCAGAGCCCTGCCAAGACCACAGGTTGGTCAGTGCCGTGCCCAGGAGCACTGGGAAGTTCCTGCCCAGCTTCCCTTGTGACTGGGAGATGCCTGGCAGAGCCATCCACAACAACAGGCACCCCATGCCCACAGAACGTGGGGACATTGACACCCTGCGTGGCACCCACTGCGCTAGCTCCTTGCCTTGGCTCGGAACCCAGCACCCAATCCGAGGGTCTCCATGCAGCCCTGGGGGCTGCAAGCACAGAGAGAACTCTGCCCACACACTGGCACCAGGCAGGATGCGGGCGGACAGCTTTGCCCGCTGCAAAGGGAGGGACAGAGCATTGCCCAGCCTGAGCCAGCCCTCACCAGGAGCATGGCCAGAGCTGGGGGCACGCGCTGCACAAGTGGGGGAAGCTGCATGCAGAGGTCCCTGATGGCACTAAGCACCGTGCAGCGTTGTGTGCCCAGCAGCATGCAGCACGGTGCTCCCAGTGCCATGCAGCACCTTGCACCCAGCAGCGTGCAGCACGCTGCTCCCAGCACCACGCCATGCCCTGCTCCCAGCACCGTGCAGCGCCCTGCGCCCAGCCACATCCCAGGAGCACGGGCGGGGGGCAGGCAGCAGCGGGGTGGCCCCGGCTGCCTGGCGTGGGGCCCGGCCGTGCAGCCAAGGCTGGGAGGGCCGAGCAGGGCTGGGCAGCGGAGCAGATTGGCTGCCGGCGAGGCCTGCGGGCTCCTTTGAAAGCGCAGCGCGGCGTGGGAGGCGCTAAGGCAGCGGGGCAGCGCGGAGCCGACCTCCCTCGTCCATCCCGTCCCGTCCCGCACGGGCAGCAGGCAGAGCCCGGCGGCAGCACCGGGGCCGGGCAGCGGCGATGCCGTGGCAGGGCAGCGCGGCGGCGCTGGGCACGGCACTGCTGGTGCTGGCACTGGCCCGGGCGCAGAACTACGACTACTACAGCTGGCAGCCCGAGAGCCAGCCCCATGGGCGCTACTACGGCCGCGAGCCGCAGTGCGTGGACATACCGGCCGACATGCAGCTCTGCCGCGACGTGGGCTACAAGCGCATGCGGCTGGCCA